AGCCCGTCGAAACAGGGCTCGGACTCATGCGTAGACTCTTGCTCACCCTGTGAGGTTGGCGAAGACTGAGCCAAGATCATCGTAGGGGCCAGGTTGGCGGCCATCATGCTTTGTGTTGCAGGCGCTCCGAGCCTTCCATACCTTGCCATCTGCTGCTGGGGCCAGCCACCAGCAGTCCACGTGGGCGGGAGGGACATTCTCTGTGGCAGCGTTCCGGCTCGCAGACATATGACATTTGAGCCAAGACTTGAGCCGTAGCCATTGAACAGGTTTACAACATTGTGTTTAAGCTCTAACTCAGAAGCCCGAAACCACATGATCCCGAATCCTCAATTCTGCAGGTATTAAACGCTAAATCCCAAAGGCCCATACGCAAAATGTACCCGAAAGGAGCCACCTTCGTGAGCACATCAAAGACTGCCCTGGCACCCGGATCCAGGTCCAGAAGCGCATGCCTCGGCAACCGACAGAGCTCATTTTTTTAGGGTTTAGGGTTTAGGGTTTAGGGTCTAGGGCATCCTCTTCTTCTGTCGGTCTATTTTATGGGAGGTCTCTAGCGATTCTTTAGGCTTTTCAGACGGATTCATAAGGGCTTGACGGTGAGTTTTCTGCCGCTCCCCTCCCGACTTCTGAGGCACCTACGCATCTGCAGCCTTGGACACGTGTAGGATGCAGGGATCTGTCAGTGGCCTGACACTTGGAAAACGCACTCTTGCTCTGGTTCATTCGTTAGCATGGCTGATCAGTGTAGGGCTAGGGGCGAAGAGTCGCAGCACACATTGCTGTGAAACCGAAGCCTGCGCCTCTTGACCCATCACACTCCTGGATTGGATCTCTTATGATGGCTTGTATGCCGAGCCTGCCCTTCGCTTCGAAGATCTGCAGCACCGCATCCGGGTCCAAACCGTTGGCTCCCAAGCCATACCTTGCCGTGAGAACTTTGGGAAACAAAGGTCCAAGCAATAGCACCCAAATCGAATCGACTCGTCGCTCAGGTCTTAGAGGGTATAGAAATCGCCTTGAAACCCAGACCCCACTGCTGTACCTGGTGTCGTGTTCAGGATTGAAACATGTTCGATGTTTGGCTGTGTTTGCTAATTGATGTCATTTCTGGGTTTCTGTCAAACAATTTCTATGTGAGCGTCTAGCCGCAACCCCTGATTGCCACGATCGGAGACCATGAAAACCCAGCCTCCTCAGTATGACAGGAGCTCTCCACGATCACACGCGTCAGGATCATGATGGCCAGAATAACGCGTCTCAGGCATCATGGCGGCTTTAGGCAGCCCGCCTATATTCATGACTCTTCGTCTTTGATCGTCGTCGTCACCACCACCACCACCACCACCACCATTGTCGTCGTCATCTGAGCGGCAGCAGCACGAGTAGTAGGTGCTGCTGCAGTGCTGCTGCACGACCGTGGCGACCTCCATCATAGGCATTGCTTTATGCGCATATACAGCTAGATACATATATATATATATATGCGTGAGTGTGTTATATACATAGCATACGTTGACTTTATTGTTTGGTGTAGTGACCGGCCCGTGCTGTTTTCCTGCCTTGCCAGAGCGGGAGAGCCGGACCCCAAGCCCCAGCCCCGACCCGAAACGCAAAGCCCCAACATACCACATCCCCAAAGCAAGAGGAATCCAAATCTGAACCCTTTTTCAGCACGGACTGAGGTGCCGGCCAGCGCCCATGCAACCCTCACCCCGGATTTGAACCCTAAACCCGAAACCTCTAAAATTAAACTAGCCAAAACAAACAAGCCCGAAGCCTCAAGGCCACAGCTAAGTGCATAAAAATACCGCGCCCTACACCCTTTTTTGCATCAACCCTACATCCTAAACCTCAAGACTCTAACCCTCCTGGCCCTCAGGCGTAGAACATCAAGGCCATAGAACCTAACATCCCTACACCGAAACCCCCTGAAACCCCTAAGCCTGAAACCCCTAAAACCCTGAACCAGGTCCTGGGCCCCCGGGCACCGTCTCCGTGGGAAAAGAGACAAGGCGGCCTCGGCGCAGCGCCGCGCCGAGGGCTTCGAAGCGCTCGGGGCTGTGGGGCCTCGGCGAAGGTTTAGGGTTTAGGGTTTAGGGTTTTTCCCTCTCGCATGAATGAGGTCTATACTCACGGCGAGGTTCCATATGAGACTTGTTCATTGAAATGTTGAAGAGTTGAAGAATGTAGGAGCTCCCTCATTTCAGGATCTCCCTGCTCCGTCAGTTCGAAAGAGCACAACATGCTTCTCAGCAAAATGCCGTTTAATTCGCTCAGATCTTTAGCTCAAAGTCACCGCATACATTTTGTTGCCATCCTGTCACTCGACTCGGTTTAGGGATTAGGGTTTAGGGTTTAGGGTTTAGGAAAGGGAAGCTCTCCTGCTTTCATAATAAGGGCTTTAAAAAGAGGGACTTGTGTTTAAGGCTTTGGTAGGGCTTTTTTGGAGGGTCTGAAAGGGCTTCGTAGGGGCTTTTCTCAAATGAGGTTCTATCATGCTTCAGGGTTAAGTCTTTTGCCTGCCGCCTTGCTGGGATGGACCAGAGTTCGGCGTTCGACGCAGACACTCGCACAAGGGGCTTCAGGTCATTCGTTGCACTTGCTTCCGGGACATGAAAGCGTGGCTCAAGGTCGAACAACCAAGTAAATCATGCAAGAACCCCAAAACCATAAAGCACCCCGGCAGTGACAACTCACAGCCACTCTCAGGCTCTCAGGGTTACGGGTGCGATAACACGGGGGCCTTGATCATGCACTCAGTCAGAACAGGGTTTCGGGGTGCTGTGCTTTCTCGCACCACCCTCTCTCGTACCTGTTCCGACCCGCGTTTTAAACCGGCAGGTTCATGAAATATGCAAAGTGCAAACGTGCACATCTCGGGCCAATTGGTACTGGTATCCCCTTATAATCCGCATATTGTTATACAGTGATACGTGCTATATAATATAACCCCCGCTGCCCCCGTATTCTCACCAATTCTTAATTCCCCTATACTGTGAGTTTCTGTAGCCGTCGCAAGCCGCGGTCTGGTTGTCAATTCAGCGGCTCCGAATCAGGGCTATCTCAGTTTTCAATATCGACCACCTGTGATGCAGGACATCTTCTTGATTCTTGTAAAGGGCTACTGTAATTTCCGACTGTCGCAAAAAACGACCAAGCCCAAAACACCAGGTCCGTGAGCTATGCTGGGTTTGGGGCGGCCGGAGGATGCAGGCAGCCTGGCTGAGGGGGCACTCTCGTTACCACAAGCATCCACACTTCGGTACGGTTTGGGCTCCATCATGACGGGGGGTACCAATACATCCTTACCCCTCTTGAAGGCCGAAAAGTCCCAATTCACGCGGCCTCATGTCTGATCCCTTGCCCACCTTGTCCTCCTCAGCCAGTGCAGCCGCCGGTCTCCTTTTCTGTCCAGCAATTCCGCCGATGCAAAGTCCGATTTGTGATCGTGACGGTGTGGTGATGATGATGATGATGATGATGATGATGACGGTGGTGGTGGTGGTGGTGGTGGTGGTGGTGGTGGTGGTGGTGGTGGTGGTGGTGGTGGCTGGTGGTGGTGGTGGCTGGTGCTGGTGGTGGTGGTGGTGGTGGTGGTGGTGGTGGTGGTGGTGGTGGTGGTGGCTGGCGGTGGTGGTGCTGCTGCTCCTGCTGCTGCTGCTGCTGCTGCTGCTGCTGCTGCTGCTGCTGCTGGTGGTGGTGGTGGTGGTGGTGGTGGTGCTGGTGGTGGTGTTGGTGGCGCTGATGATGACGATGACGACAACAGTGCTGATGGCGGCGGCGCTGCGGGTGGTGGCGATTGTGGTGGTTACGGGAGTACTGCTGGACTATGACGTATCACGGGGACGAGAAGGAGGATACCGATGCTGAGTCGGCGAAAATGAAAATTATGATGGTGAAGATGAGGATGAGGCATCGATGATGCTGCTGATATTACATTTACATGGTCACGATCAAGAAGCCGATTGTGAGGCTCAAGGTGACGATTCCCTCATTGAAGCAGTACATGTTGAGAAGGCCTGTCTGCCCTCTCGTCATTGTGGACATCTAGGCTCTCGACCCCCTACCCCACAGGCTGCCGGATAACTGAACGGGACACATCTTCCCTGCAATCTGGCCATCTGCCTTCATTCTCTGCAAGTACTACGGTGGGTTTCGACATACACACACACACACACTCGCACAAGGCTGGCAAGGTGGGTTTAGGGTTCCACTTCATCCCGTAAAAAAGAATACTACAAGGTGCCAAAGGATTCCGGCTGCCAGCCCAATGCATAGTAGTACAGTCTAGCATGGCATAGTGCAGCCTAGTACGACACAGCATACTATAGCATACTGTAGTGACATATAGCGTAACGTAATACAACTTTGTATACTTCGAAACTGTAAAATAACATGTAACTTTGTCTCGTTGTACGTAGACTATACTATAACATACTATAACGAATCATGCACAGCTCCTTGTTATAAAAACAGTAAAATGGGCCCCAAAACCCTATTTTAACTATTAAGGCCCCTACATTACTTAAAGCCCCAAGCCAAGTTGGAGACGAGCAGCTTCCGGCTCGTCATGGCAAAGCTGGCAATATCATGGCACTTTAGGCCCCAAGTGTCACGGTTTAGGGTTTAGGCCTGCCTTGTTTCGTGCGTTCTTCTTGTAGCAAATGCCTCTAGGAAGGAACTGCTCTCTGGCTTTTTCGCAGCTTGCTTGTTTCCCGTGCGGACTTGGCTGTGTTCGGCTCCAGTTTATGCTCAACCCTGCTGCAGGGATGCTAGGAAAACTGGACGCTGCAAGTGAGCTCACGTGCTGCAGCTTACGTGGAAAGGCACAAGGGCATGCGCGGTAGTTCGCCACAGATAATATAGAAACCTTAAAAACTAGAATAGGGTCCTGGGGTCGATTATACTTTTTTATGCCATAATTATAATATATTACAATAAGGAACCCCAACACCCTAGTCTAATTATTGAGGCCCCTACGTTGGGTTCTGCAATCCCTGGATCTGACCTGAGGTCTGCGGCTGGTGCAGGACTTCGGTCAAACTCGTCGAGTCGGGCACAAACTTCACGTAGCCAGACCTCAGGGCGAGTTCGGAATGTGGCCTCTGACTTCTACTTCAGTCTCTCAGGGTTTCATCGTGTTTGATTCATAATTTTGGCTTGGATCCAGGAAGTTTTGACACGAACACTAGGGTTTTTTGACCCTCACACTCGGACAGGCCTGGCAAGGTCTGTAGCGATACTGGTTCAAACGGTTTAGGGGTTGAGGGTTTGGGGCCTACAGGTCCTGCAGTGAAATGTTCTATCTGATAGCAACGAATCCTACCACACCCTACCTTATTGCTGAACACACAGGAAGACTGAGTGCTCATCTACAGGGAACGCAATCTCTCACTCTCTCCAAAGCCCCTTCGGCAACTCGTCGGGGGCCATGCTCTCCCCTTCTCGCGAAGCACAAAGCATGTTGGCTGGTTCTGGACTCCTACTCCATAAAGAAGGCTCGGCCCTTGAAGATGTGCTCTCAGGAATTGTCGGCCACGTATCTGCTCAAGGAATAGCTGGGGAGGAACCCGAGTTTGTCCCACTCGATCCTTAGCTCATCCAAGAGAGGAGCTTAAAGAAACAAAATAGCTGAAAAGAAACAGCGGCCCACAGCAGCTTCGCAAATCTGTGCTTGGCTGCAGCTAGGCATCAAGAACTCTCGCACTCTCTCCTGTTGATTACAGGCAAGGCAAGTCTTCAAGAGGGGTTCCACCAGGTCCTCCTCTAAGATGCCACCTTTGCCAATGAACTCCTCGAAGATGAGCAGCGCGCGTTCCCAGTTGCCGGTTGCTTTGCAGACTTCGAGGGACAAGCCAAAGGCTTTGACGGGCCTTGTCAGCCCAGAGTCCTGCATTTCGTCAAAAAGAGAGAGGACCTTCTCCCATTGTCCGCAGTTGGCACATGCTTGCATAGCATGCACAGTGCAGAAGGAGCTGGGGCTCAGCCCGACCTGAGGCATGTAGTCCAGGAAGGCCAGTGCCCGGTGCCACTCACCTAGCTCAGCACAGGAAAGAATCGCAGCAGCATAGGCCTGCGTATCAGGCCGTAGCTGAACGGTTTCCACATCATGTAACAACCACAATGTCTGATGATGCTCCCCGCTGCTGCTGAGGGCTTTAATGGCAGCACCATAGCACGACACGTCCGGTTTGTTGAACTCGCTCTCCGCTGCCGCGCATAAATGAGACAGGGCAGCCTGCCACTGCCCGCCTTCGCCCAGAGCTGTCAAAGTGTGATGGAGCGATTCGACATTCGGCTTCACTCCAGAGGCAGCAGCCGAAGCAAGCAATTCCAAAGCATGCTCCCACTGCGCAGCATTGCCCAGGACTCTCAGCGCTGTGTTCCTCAGCTGAAAGCCATGCGAAAGCCTGCCTGAAAAGCGACCTGTGAAATCCTCTGAACCCGCTTCGTAAGGGCCTGAATGATTAGAATAGGGTTTTGGGCTCCTTATTATGATTATAGTATAATAGACGCCCAAACCCTATTCTAACTATTAAGGCCCCTAGCTTCCTCTCAATTTTCACCCCAGTCTCAAGGCTTTTACATCTGGCTTAAGAGGGCCTCGAAGAAGACGGCTCCAAACATCTAATCCGGCTTCCCAGCACCTCCGGGCCCCCACTGCGGCCAGGATATCCGAATACTCCGGCAGCGTCTCAAGGTGACCACTTTCAAGCAATGCCTTGCAGATTCTTCGGGCCTCGCTGGGCCTCGTGTCCGGATTCCAAAGCCATCCTCGTAACTTCAGCTTCCATTTCTGCACTTGTGCCGCAGGGTGCAGCTCCGTTATCTCTGAGCCCGACATTCTCTCATCCTCACCTTCCACACCGACCAAGATGGAATGTGTGAACCAAGCCCTGTACACTGACCGCTGAAAGGACTACCTTGTTTTGGGCAAGCTGTGCATCGTCGTCGCTACCACTTGGGAAGTTCGCTTTAATGTCCTCTTTTCAATCCTGCAATGCACTGCCTCATTTGCAGCGAGGTAAACGTGTGCTGTGAGGGAAAGACAACCACCCTGCCCGAGGCTGAAACAGCTGCGCCGGAAAGGCGGCAAATCCAACAAGCATGCCGGGACGTGCCAGTTCTGCTCTCAATGAGCCTTGCGCAATCGTTTTACCGTGTAGATGAGGCGAGCCGAGCGGCGTGGGCGTCACAGCCAAGACTCGAAACCTCAGAAGCCGTCGTTGCTGCAAACGCGTTATGTCGTCGGGTGCATCTAAACTCAGTGCATACCTGTGGCTCCCTTGATGCTGGTTTGCTGTAAGTCTTGTGACCTGACTTTGTGGGGTGATTCGTCCTCTTCATGCTTCATTTCCCTTCGCTGCCGGGGTCTGGGCAATGGCAGCTGCACCAGCCGCGCATCCTAGCAGGCTTCCAGTGTTTCGAACATTATCGAACTCAACAACTCCCTGTTATTCTTGGCATGGGGCCCGGTTTCAACTCTCAAAACATGCTGTGCCCACAAGGCCCTGCGAAACTCAACACTGGGTAGTCACTGGCCCGCGCTTTCGCACCAACCGACTGGAAACAGCAAGCTGCAATAGCAGCTGCGATGCACATGAGATAACATGACTCATGATGAAGACCAACACTGAGGAGAAAGGATAAGCTTCAATCACGCTTCGCCAGGCCTGTCCCGGCAGATGATTCCGCCAGATGCAGTTGCAGAGAGTCTCAGCTGCATTGCAGGTGAGGTGTCCATGCTGCTTCCGCGCTGGAAGGTCGACATGCACACACCCACGATCCAATTCCGCACACGTCCTTGAAGCACGTCTTCAACAAAAATGTCGTATGCGCAGCTTCTAAATGAATATGATGTTGCAGTGTCGCCAGGGCTGCAGGGTCGCGGGCCATCAGCTGAATCACCAGCTGATCCTGACGAAGGTCATCGCCGACCTCCAAAGCACACACGGCGGCGTGCAGGCGTAACGATGGAAAGTGCCGTCATGTCGTCGCAAGCAGTCGGCTGCAACAGGAGCCCGATGGACATCGGCTACAGCACCTTGATGTTCGGTAAATCCTGAGTGCGCTGCCTTCAGCAGGTACTTCTCCAGGACCTGTTCTCCGTGTCGCCCTGCTGCCTTGGGATCACGCGGAGCTTTGAGCTCAGTAGGCTCAGTCGGTTGTTGCTGCTAGCACCATGAATAATCACTGTCATTATTGCTGTGTCTGTTGCTATCAACATTGCTATGTTTTTCACAAGGGACTCGTCTGCTGCCCTTACTGCCCAGCTTGACCCACAAGACACATTCACATTTCCGTCGTAGCACTTCACTCTTCACCGAAGCCTAAAGCATGCTTTCTGTAGACGAGCAAAGGTCTCTGAAGCTCCCGAAACCCTAAACTTCTAAACCCTTGGCTTTAGCTTACAGGACGCAAGTCTAGCCAGACTACGACCTGCAATCATCTTGACCGAGGGTCGACATGCAGCACCGATACCAAGGCCGCGCTGTGGAGAAGTCAAACCCTAAACCCTAAACTACCCTAAATCCCTAAACTTCTCAACCCAAACCCCTAAACCCAAAACTACCCTTTTGAACCCAGTCTCTGATCAGGTCAGAACTACCCTAAACCATGAACCCAAAACTCTCCCAAATCCCGAAAATTCTAAACCCTTCAACCCTAAACTTCTGACGAAGAAAGGCGCCTGGTTGGACCGTGATGGCGAGGTCGCCGGGCTGTGAGCCAAGGATCCGTGCAGCTGGTTGTGCCGTGTCCTGGCCACAGGTTTAGGGTTCAGGGTTTAGGGTTTAGGGTTTAGGGTTCAGGGTTTAGGGTTTAGGGTTTAGGGTTTAGGGTTTAGGGTTTAGGGTTTAGGGTTTAGGCCACAAGAATGTGGGAGTTTCAGAAAATTAGGGTACCTTATTTTGGGGTCCTTTTTTAGGGATCCTGTTCATTAGGGTACTATATTAGGGTCCCCTATCTTCGGAAACCCCCATGTCTTTCGATAACGAGGATAATAACAATAAGCAGAGAATGATACTAACAATGATAATAAGTATAATGGAAATAATGCTAAACATAATCATGATAATAGTAACGTAACCGAGAAAAGAAGAAGACTACTAGCAATAGCAACAACAGTTTCGTGGATACGCATTTGTAACATGGGATGCTTTTTGGCCTGTTCTGATGCATCCAGTGTACAGTATACTTGCAGCCCACGCCTGCACACCAGCATCAGGGGTGCCTGCTTAGATGCCAGCACTGCGCCTGTCGCTGGTGCGGGTGTGGGAGCTGAAACACGGTGGATTGCCCGGTTCCGCTGTGGCCCAGGCTCTTCTCTACCACTGTACCCTCGAAGCGGACACTTGGATCCACCGGTAACCTTGCCGGAGTTTCAACATCTAACAACGATTCCGCACAACTCGGCAGAGAAGCCCAGCACAAGCTAAGACAAGTTCTCACCTGGTGCCTGTTCCGGCAACACCCCGCTGCTGAGCATGCACGGGACTGATGATTCGCAGGCTTGGGGTCAGGCGAGAGAAACAGGTGGTCCATCTCCGTGTCAGGATCTACAAGATCCTGACAAGGCAATCCATGTATGCCATGCAGAATGCAGGGGGGCTGCAGGGGGGCGCTCGAGCTTCAAAGTCTCACAGAAGTGCAGCACGAGGTCGTGGCAATGCCCACCGCCGAAGCCTTTGCACGTCATATGCCAAGAGAAAGTCATATGCCAACAGAAAGACATGCTGAAAACTACCTTCCGTCCAATCACGAGATCAGTGTCACTCTTGTTTCGACTTGGACGATGGCCCGGTGATTCGGCCTCGCGGAGTCCCGGCTTCCAAAGCGAGAGTTTCACAGACTCGGACTCCCCGTCGCCTTGATCTCGGGGACGCCAGGATGGCTGCGTCCGCTGCTGCAAGGTCAAAGGACTCCAGATCGAGGGCCCTCCGCCTCAGGTCGCATCCCGTCGGTCGAGTGCATGACACTTTTGCATTTTGGGTGCGCAGCAAGACGCTCCATCTGCGAAGGACCTTGCAGAAGCTCCTAAGCCTAGCATTGACCATCGTAGCTGAGCGACTGGTCACATCCGATTGTTCGGTGCCGAATGAAATGCCGCGCTTGTTCGAGACTGACACACTTAGCCTGCACCGAATCCATGCAACTGCTGGCCTCTCGCAGTTTGGTGGTCCTGCAAGTTCAGGAAGAACTGATGTAGCTGACTCTTCGCAGCAAGATCGTTGACTTGTCACATCCCATGCGGCTCCGATGATGGAAATTGCCGCCGCCGGAACTGGACTGCTTGTTGTGGTACTGGATAAGGGCCTACAACAAGAAATATCGTATCAAGCACGCAGTACAAACCACAATGAGTGCCAGTGGCACTGAGGCCAGCGCGGTGTGTTGCCGCCACACTTCGCACTGGCCGCCGACCCGCCGCCTACAGCGCCCAACTTGGGCCCATGTGAGTAGTTCTCGAAATTAGGCCCTTTGCAGCCCCTGTTGCCACAGTGACGTGCCCCATTTGCTCTTTGGGAACAGAAAGCTGGAACCATTATCCGTCTGCGAGTGCCTGGTTTTCAGCATGATGATAACACAGAGGGGGCGAAAGAGCATGAAAAAACCCAGCAGGTTCCACCATCGCCCTGTCTCTTTTCAGCCAGGCGGTGTGTCCTGTCGTACAGAGAGACGGAAGCCAGTTCAAGGGCCAAGATTCCTCAAGGCACAGATTGAAATCGATCCCCTCATATCTTTTGCGAGCCTACGGCGTCATTCCTCCTTCAGGCTGGGGAAAGTGTCCAAAACGGCCAAACGTGTCTGAATGAAGGTGGGCTTCACGGCCAGGACGTAGATGCAGTAGCCTCTGCTGACCCCATAATATGTACTATGCGTTTATGCTTCATGAGATCCAGATATTGCCACCTGCCTTTTCAATGTCGACTCCGCAATGCAAGCTTCACAGGGTTTCATCCCTGAGGGATTCAAGGACTGGAACCATCTTGGGACTCTATACTACTATTCCAGGCATGGGCCGTGCCTAACTTCGATTGCACTAACCTACTGTTCACTTAATTGGGCATGTGACAATCAGCCCCGCCTACTTTGGACAAACACTTAAACCACCAACCTCTGCACCTTTCAGGCATAACCGAAGCAGTGATCGTGTTAGGGTCCCTCCGTACAGTGAGGACAGTTAGGAATGTGCCAAGAATCGTGAGTTTCAACGTTCCCCAAAACCGAGTCTCGTTAACCCCTCGAGATCCCCACAGCGTCCCTAGACCGCCAAAGCCCGAAGCCGGAAAAGCCTCAAGATTCTGCACAACTCTCACCGTGCTGTCGAAATCCTTCTGAGTTCCTTTCTTCTTGATTGATTGAGGGCCTGTGGGTGCGAACACCCTTGTATCAACAGCGCAATTCTGGCATAAACTGGTCTTGATGCACACAAACAAACCACGATTTTCAACAACCCCCGAGGCCCTAAAACCCCTATATTATACACCGACCCAGAAAGTAGTTGCACTTGAACCCGAGGTGCCCCAAGCCCTCAAAACCTCTAAACCTCTCCCAAGCAGCCGAAGCAGTAGCCGTGGATCATGGACAAGGCATAGCGCATGGCGGTGCCACCGAAGCCGCCGCCGCCAGCAAAGCCAACCTTCGAGGCTCCAATGTACCTTTTCAACGGTTTAAGGCTTTAAAAAGGGTTGTTCTTTTAGGGCCTTTTTTCTTATATATATATATATATGAATGAATGAATGAATGAATGAATGAATGAATGAATGAATGAATGAATGAATGAATGAATGAATGAATGAATGAATGAATGAATGCACGCATGCATATGTATGTGCATGCATATATATATATATATACAC